GCGGCATTAGCTGGAGCGGCGGACCTCTTGGGTTTAGGAGGCTCTTTGCCGTCACCGATGTTGAGAAGGACGTCGGTGAGCTCAAGCCCCTTCACCTCGCGACTGAGGAGGTGCTTGTCAACACCATAGCGCCAAGCCTTGTAGTTGGAGCATGTACCGTCCGGCTCGAGACGAAGGAGCGGGATCGGGTTGGCGAGTGACGTGGTTGAGTAAGCCATTGTCGGTGTACAGCGCGGCACTTCTGGAAATTGGTTGACGAGAATTGCTGAAAATCACTCTGACGGCTGTATCAAAATGCTGCTAAGTAGGAAATGGCGTCGGCGAAAATTCGTTAAAACGCCGACTTGAAACTGAATCTGAACCTATGTCTAACTCCGGACCCACACACACCCCACACACCCCCAGGCCATGTCCCGCAGCTACACAACTCCGCAACCAGCTCCGCAACCAGCTCCGCAACCAGCTCCGCTCCGCTTCAACCTGTGTACCTGCTCTTGATTTGACGCGAGACGTTCGTGGAGGCGATTTCGCGAGGGGAGTTCGCCTATTCTGGCGGGGTCTGAGGGGAAACTCGAGAACGAGTTTTAAGAGATGGTCGAAATTGAGATTCGACCAAGGAGAACTGGGGAGGAAATCGACGATGAGAAGCGTGAAAGCTTCAGAGATGAGAAATTCAATGAGGTCGAGCGCGAAGGCGGTCGACGATGAGAGGCGCGACTGCAGAGTGGAGCACGTCGAAATTCGGACGACTCGAAACGAATGTCACGACGATGAAGTGCTCGTAGCGCGGGCACGTTGAGATTAGGACCTTGATCCGCGTGTGCGAATAGGTCGCTCTGATACCATGTAAGAAATAGAGTTGAAATGATTAATTAGGAAAGGAGCCCAAGGCTCTATAAGTACATGGCAAGATGAGAGTGAATGGATGAAGGGGGAATTGGAGGGAATCCCCATTGGGATCTCCGGAATCTCCAATTGGGTAATTGGAGATTGGGGGGATCACAATTGGGTGAGGTTGGGATTTGTGAGTACACCCCAACCCACTAGAACATTCATAACCTAAACTAGGATATTAAAGTACAAATACAAAAGTGGTATTTGCAGTCTATTTCTAACAATAAGATCGTGTTTCGTACTCGCTACGGGATTTACGAATACATGGTGATGCCGTTTGGATTAACGAACGCCCCGTCGACGTTCCAGCTCACCATGAACGGGGTGTTCCACGATCTACTCGACAAATGTGTGATAATTTACGTGGACGACATCCTAATATACAGCAAGTCCGGTGAGCAACATTTAAAGGACTTGGAAGCGGTTTTTCAGTGGGTGCAGCAGCATCATCTCGTCACCAAGGGCTCCAAGTGCGAGTTCTTATAACAAGAACTGGGGTTCTTGGGGTGCGTGATCTCCACGGAGGGGATTCAAATAGACCCGAAAAAACTCTGGGCTATTCAGGTGTGGAAAGCGCTAACAAATATGCAGCAGCTCCAATCATTTCTGGTTTTTGTGAATCACGTGCGGCAGTTTATACCCAACATGGTGGGGTTAACTGGACCTCTAACCGACCTACTGCAGAAGAAGACTTTTTACGAGTGGGGGGGAGAAGGAGCAAGCTGAGTTCGAGGCATTAAAAACTCTTTTAATGTCGCTACCGGTACTTCGCATCGCTGACCCAGGATGGCCCTTCGAAGTCATCACCGACGCTAGTGACATCGCCAACGGAGTCGTGCTCATGCAAGATTTCGGTAATGGTCTTCAACCAATCGCGTACGAGTCTCGAAAAATGCATTGTGCTGAGTACAACTACCCGGTACACGACAAGGAGATGCTGGCGATTGTCCACACGTTCAAAATCTGGAGGTGCTACCTGACTGGGGCAGACGTGACAGTGCGAACCGATCACAAATCTCTATAGTTCCTGAGAGCGCAGCCGAATCTCAACCCGCGGCAGATACGCTGGCTGGACTATCTAGATTCCAAATTCACGTACAAGATCACATACAAAAAGGGCGCCAACAATATTGCTGATGCCCTCTCCAGACCGTCTGCCCAGCTCGCAGCACTACTAGTCGCTCAGAGCAACCCGCTACTGAGTGGACCATTTACCCATGGGTATTCGACCGATCCCATGTTCGTAAATGACGACCATCTCCAAATTACTACACCGAAAGGCATCTATTACTTATGAAACGGGACTGATCGAATTTGGGTCCCAAGTTATCGCCTATTTCCCGAATAGCTAATTCAAGAAGTCCACGATTCGAATTTATCGGGACATTTCGGGGTTGATAAAACTCTGAAGGCATTGCAGCGGCTTTATTACTGGCCAGATATGGTGACAGATGTGCAGCGTTACGTGGCCGCGTGTCCGATCTGCCAGCAAATGAAATCATCACATCAGCGACCGACAGGACTGTTGCAGCCCCTTGAGCCACCTCAACGCCCATGGCAACACGTGACGATGGATTTCGTCACAGGTCTACCGGCCGAATCCAGTGGAAACGACGCAGTATTGGTTGTCATTGACTGATTGACAAAAATGGCTCATTTCGCACCATGTCGTACAACCATCACAGCCAAAGAAATCGCGCGAATGTTCCTCTCGACCGTTGTTCGCCTACATGGGATACCAGCAGCAATCATTAGCGATCGAGACCCGTAGTTCATGTCAAAGATTTGGCAGGACACGTGGGCTCGGTACGGCATGCGCCTGCAATTCTCATCTGCTTATCATCCCCAAACGGACGGTCAGACAGAAAGGACAAACCAAAAGATGGAGCAGCTAATTCGGACAAACCGCCCCGACCGAAACAAATGGGAGGACGTGCTTCCTATGTTGGAATTCTCCTACAACAACGCGCCCTTAGCTACGACTAATCACTCCCCATTTTACCCCAATTACGGGATGGACCCCACAGTACCCATCTCCACCAATGTTGAGAGTCAAGAACCACGGTCGCAGCAGTTCGTCGAAGAATTACAGACTGCCCGAGATAAAGCTGTCGAACTTATTCGCAAGGCGAACGCTACTGCTCGACGGTATGCGGATTTATATTGACGAGATATTACAATGGCAGCAGGGCAACTAGTCCTTTTGGACTCCGAGAATTTACGGCTGCCACGACCGACGAAATTACGACCACGTTTCTGTGGCCCATTCAAGAACATGAAGATGGTGATGTTGGTGATTGCCCAGTTACGCCTACCTGGCAATTGGCATATTCAAAACAAGTTCCACGTGAGCCTGTTGCGACCCTTTGTACCTGATACATCGGACATTGCCCGACAGCGATTGGTCCCGGTTGTACGGCCACCAGCAAAGACGACCATCGAGACTTCAAAGATTTTGAGCCATAGGATTCGTATCGACGGCCAAGGACGACACGTTGAATTTCTGATATGATGGACCAATCGTACCAGTGAGGACGACACGTGGGCGCCCTCGGACCAGATACAATCACCTTCGATACTTGCGAATTATTTGGCCCGCAAGCACTGTCAACTTTTACATATATTGTTATGTAAAATTTATAGGCTAGATAGGGTATGTTCTTAGTGAGTACAACCCAAACGCTATATCTCCCCTGTTCTCCCTTCTTCTATTCATTCTTTCTAGTCTTAACATGGTGTCACGAATAGGTAGGTCCACCCACCCGCTTCCGCCCCGTGCCGCCACCTACCGGACCCTCGCGCCCCTACGGCCCCGTCGCGCCCCTAGCAGGCCCCGTCTCGGCCTTACGGCCCCGTCGCGCCCCTACAACCCCGTCGCGCCCCTAGCAGGCCCCGTCGCGCCCCTAAGGCCCCGTCGCGCCCCTAGTAGGCCCCGTCGCGCCCCTACAGCCCCGTCGTGACCCTACGGCCCCGTCGCGCCCTTAGCAGGCCCCGTCGTGCCCCTATGGCCCCGTCGCGCCCCTATGGCCCCTCGCGCTCCTAGCCGGCCCTGTCGCGACCCTAGCTAGCCTCGTCGCGTGCTGCAGGTGCGTGCTGGACACCCGACATGCGAAGACGCTCGCCCGGTAGCGCGGTTGACTTGACAAGAATGCGGTGTTGGGATTGGGGCGATTCATTCCTCCTCCCGCGCATGGGTTCCTACTGCAGTGCGGTTGCCGGACCAATCAACCCCCTTCCTCACCTCACATAGCCTCAGCATGCATGGGCCCCCCTGATCTGACCACGATCGAGTCGCAGCGTGCATTTCGCCGAAGTATGTAGGACAAAAACAACGTCGTTACCGTATTCTCCCGGATACAATGCCCGCCGGAATTAAGCTCCCATGGGTGGCTTGAGCAGGTATGGGTGTTCAATTAAACTGGATCTAGTTACCACCCTACTTTTAGGCTTGAAAACAATTGAACACCCCCCGCCACCTAGAATCCTTATTTCGATAGGGAACAACAGAATTTGCCGTGCATAGTTGCGTGCGTAAACGTGAGGGCCAGTGGGGGAAACGAGGTGGTGGTCAGCCCGTATGTGTCCGAATGGGGAAAAAAAATGTTGAAACCTTGAAATCCAAATTGTTCATTCTCGACTCTCGCACCCTCCTGCCAAAACAAACCTCCGCTGCCGGCCACTGATTGGAGGCAGTAAGGACGAGGTCTGCAGCACTCGTTGATTGGCAGCTTTGCCAGCCTCGTCCTTGACTCTACTACCGTAATCCCCCGTATACAACACCCTATGGTGTATATAAAAATCCACCAAAAAAATGACTGGGTTTAACAGTGGCACCGAAAAATATAGTGCCCATGTGTTATGTAAAATGCAATTTGAATTCGAGTGTTCCAGACCATGTTAGCTCACTACTGCGCGGAGCGGCTGTTAACGAGGCATATCTTCCGCTGAGACGAAACTTACGAACCAGGCGTCGTTGGCCAATCCTTGCTGAGTGCTGTGGTCTGGGCCAGCTTCGTGCCGCGCCTGCAACCGTCAAGACCTGAGAGGATTTCGCTCGGGAGGATTTTGACCATCAAATCACAGTAGAGTCCGCGATTTTGACCGTTGAAATCCTCCCAAATCTCAACCTTCGCTGACGTTTCGATTTCGCGCTGCAGCTTGTGTTGATTCTTCGGCCCGTTTTTTTCGCTGCTAATGGTAGTTGACATTGCATTTTTCATCCTTATCGTTTTTTCAATCGAGAGGAGCTTGAAAAACGATGGAATACTGTTCTTTGCTGCATAAAACGAGCAGGGTGTTATGTAAAATGCAAACCCCTAAAAGCGGGTGCTCTAAAAAATGCACCATATCATAAGCTCCCCCCCGCATAAACCACCCACTGAGTGATTATTTCGACGGGTGTTATATACGGGGGATTACGGTAGCAAGCAAAAGGGCCACAATATAGGGTACGCGATGAGGACACGAGGTGCTGATATGTGATACAAAACAAAGTGGTGTAATATGCACAACTATTTTAAAATTGAAAAACGCATATGCACGTTCCAAAGTGTTGTGATAAAGTTGTACTTAAGCATTTCTGTAAGTAGTTCTGATAGATATTGTCTAGTTACACTGTAGATAACACCTGTAGGATGATGTCAGCAAATTGCGCTCGTTTGGATGGTTACGTCAGCAAGCCGTTTCAGTCACGCGAACAGTCGCGCTCTTTTCAGTAGCAGTTAGAGCGCATAGCGCAAATAGCTCGAACAAGTACATCATTGAATAGGTACTTCTAACAGATATAAAAGTAGCTTGAGCAACTTCAATTGTTAACTTGTTCTTCAGTAAATTCTGGTCAACACTTTACAAGTTCTAATACTTCCGCTGTCTTACTAGTCTACCATTCCATAAAACATCCTTGGTTAAGTCTTGAAGTATCGCAAGGCTGTAACACTGACTCTGGTGTTACAACTTGTTAATACAAGCTGTAACTGGAGATACTTCAAGTATTACTTTCTACTTCAAGTACTTGTGTCTGCAGATTCTATACTTAGTCTCCTGCACCACCTTTCAAATTATTTCATAGTATGAGAGCTGTCTGGAATTAAGACGATCGTCAATTCGACTATCGTCAATTTTACAAATGACTGGACCATCACCATCTACAACGTCTGCTTTTTCAACAACTGGACCCACGGGTGTTACAAATCCTATAGTCTTTACTGGTCAAGCAGGTGACTCTGCAGCTGGAAATTTTCCACCTGCTTATTCTTCAATTGGGATGCCGCAATAGCAGCAAGTTTTGCCTACTGTGCATCCACAGGGACTTCGTCCTCTGCACCTGCAACACAACAGCAACAAGCATCAGCATCAATATCAGCGGCTTTTAGTGGAATGAGTATCGATGGCTCCAGTTATGCAAGAGTATCCGCAATCTGTCGCTGAAAGAGCAGCTCGGTATATGCTCGCTTCACACCAGCTTGACTCCAGCTGAATCTGTGTGGAGGCATTTGAAGGGATTATA